GGGGCCTGCGCAGGGCCCGCGGGCCGGCCGCCTGGTGGGCGGGGACGAGCGCTCTGGGTGTCCTCCGAGAAGAGGGCTCGGTGAGGCAAAGGAGTTGCCCGAGACCGCCCAGCACTGCCCCGCGGGAGACGGGGCTCCCCTGCAGTGGCAGGAGGACACTTTGGGCCCCGAGTGTCTGTCCCCGTCCACGGTGCACAGCTGGCCAGGAGGCTGCCAGGCCCAGCAGAGGACGCCGGGCTCTCTGGCCCTGCTCCCGGGCACATGTGGGCACCTGCGGGGCGTGCTGGCAGGGTCTCCTCCCGCCGCGCACACAGCAGCCCCTTGCCCGGCGCTTTCCAACCTGACGGCCGCTCTGGGAAAGGACCAGGACAGCCCCCCACGAAGGAAGGCCGCCCAGCTCCCAAGGGCGGAGATGTCCCGGCTCTGAGGCGGCTTCCGGGGGGTCATGTGGCACGGGAGGGTGGACCAGGGCGCGGGGCCTGGGGCCTCCAAAGCAAGAGCACCCCAGCCTTGCGGCGAGAGCCAGGGGCACAAGGAAAGCCCGCGGCCCGCCCTGCCCCCTCGGCCCTGTCTCCACATCAGAGAGGACGGAAGGCGACGTCCTGGTTGGGGGTGGGAGGAGGCGTACCACGTTTTCTACGTCTGGGCACCTTCTGGGCACTGGAGTGCAGACGGGACCAAAGGACAAAGTGCCGTGCCCTCGAGCTCAGGCTCCAGGGGCAGAAGGTGAACACTCGACAGCCTTCGCCAGCAGATGACAGAACACACGAGGAGGCGCTGCCGGGGAAAGACCCGGCGGAGGCAGAGGGGCGGCCAGGCGTCGTCAGAAGAAGCCTCCCTGAAAAACCGGCAGCAAGGAGAGAAGGCGGGAAGTCTACGATGGCCCCCACAAACCGTTGCCAACTCAGTGGCTTAAAACTACACAATCGTATAGTCTGGCATGGTGGCATGCACCTGTAATCCCAGAGGATCACTTGAGGTCAAGGATTTGAAACCAGCCTGAGCAATAGAACGAGACCTCATCTTTACTTTTTTTTTTTTGAGTTGGAGTCTCACTCTGTTGCCCAGACTGGAGTGCAGTGGCCGCTCCCGGCCACCGCAGCCTCGACCTGCTGGGCTCCGGCGATCCTTCCACCTCAGCCTCCCAAGTAGCCAGAACTACAGGCTCACACTACCACGCCCAGCTAATTTTTGATTTATTGTAGAGATGAGGTCTTGTCAAGTTGGTCAGGCAAGTCTCGAACCCGCAGGCTCAGGCTATCCACTCGCCTCGGTCTCCCAAAGCACTGGGATTACAGGCTAAGCCACTGAGCCCGGCCGGGGTCTTACTCTTACCCAGGCTGGAGTGTGGTGGCACAATCACAGCTCACTGCAGCCTCTAATTTCAGAGTTCAAGCAATCCTCCCACCTCAGCCTCCCGAGTAGCTGGGACTACAGGCCTGCACCACCATGTCTGACGTGTGTGTATGTGTGTGTGTGTGTGTGTGTGTGTGTGTGTGTGTGTGTTAGAGATGAGGTCTCACTATGTTGCCTAGGCCGGTCTTGTACTCCTGGGCTCAAGCAATTCTCTTGCCTTGGCCTCCCAAAGTGCTGGGATGATAGGCATATGCCACTGCGCCCAGGCTTCTCTACAAAAAAATTTTAAAAATCAGCCCAGCATGGTGGCACATGCCTGTCATCCCAGCTACTCAGGAGTCTGAGGCAGGACAATCCCTTGACCCCAGGAGATCATGCCGCTGCACTTGTCTGGGAGGCAGATCAAGACCTTGTCTCTAAAAAATACATAAAAACAAAACAACACAAACTTGTACTCTTACAGTTGTGTGGGTCAGAAGTCTCCCTGGGCTGAAGTCAAGTGTGGGCAGGACGGCGCTCTTTCTAAAGGCTCTAAGGACAGAGTCCATGACCTTGCCTTTGCCAGCTTCTGGGGGAGCCCACGTTCCTGGCCTGGTGGCCTTTTTAGTCAGCAGCACAGCACTGTCAGGTCTCTCGCTCTGACTCTGACCCTCTCGCCTCCCTCTTGTAAGAACCTTTGTGA